CAAGGCTTCTATGATTGATAGAATCAAAAGTCTCAGTAACATCAGTGAAGGCCATATACAGGTCCTAATGTTTCCAAAACTTTTCTTGGATGTGATGGGCAACAAAGATCATGTCATTTGTCCCACAGGATAATCTTAAACCACACTGAGATTCTGGCAAGACTTCCTCAGCAAGAGTTAAAAGAATGGTTCAGGAGGATGCAGGCAAGAATTTTTCCTGCTGTGGAAAGGAAGGCATTACCTCAATAGTTCCCACACAAACTTATCTCCTTTCTTGATGATAATCATGATGTTAGCATTCCTTAGGTCCCCAGGGATCTCTTCATTGTTCCAAATTCAGAGAATAAATTCATGGAGTCTCAGTACCAGTTTCTTGCCACCAGCCTTGTCGATTTCAGCAGGTATGCCATCCAGTCCAAAAGCCTTGTTATTCTGTTTCCTTGATGGCACGCCACACTTCTTCTAGGACAGGAGGGTTGGTGAGGGATCCCCTTTCAGGGTGCTGGGGGGATGGATTCAGTGGTGGTTTCTACCACAGTTGGCTCCTAGTTGCGGAGTACCTAAAAGTGCTCTTTCTATCTAGCTTGGATAGATTCATTGTCTTTGAGGTGTGTTGAGCCATCCTGTGATTGCAGAAAAGTAGGACCATGGGAAGTTGGGCCATAAATGGCTTCCATTGCCTGGAAAAAGCTTTGCATGTCATGTTTGTCAGCATAGAACTGGATCTCCTTGGCTTTATCTTGCCACCACTTATTTTTGAATTCCCAGATCCTCCTCTAAACTTTGACTTTGAGAAACCAATACACTTCCTTTTGCTACTGAGATGAGGTACTATCTTGCCAAGCAGAGTGAGATTCCAGTCATGGAGGGCTTGGATCTCAGCATTGCTCTCATCAAACCAGTCTCGGTGTCCAGGGGTGGTATAGCCAATGGATTTAACACAGGCTGTAGGGACGGTGATTTTAAACCCCTTCCAGAGTTCCTCAATGTTGCCTTCATCTATGGACAGGGGCAGAGAGCTTTTTATGGAGACACTGTTGGGGATCCTTGTAGACCTTTGGGTCTTGAAGAGATTAGGTGTTGAGAGTCTTCTGCATTGCTTTTCTCTGTTTTTTGGTGTTCTAGAGCAAGCCGGATGTTAATAATGGGTCTGACAAGATGGTGATCTGTCCAGCAGTCATCAGTTCTTCATATGGCACATTTCCTAAATTCACTCCCTTCAAGTGACATTGTAGGGAATGAATACGAGTGACTGGAAAAAGGAGACTCAGAGATGACCTGCTATGGGACCTGCTCAGTGACTTAGAGCTTGGGTCAGACCAGAACTTGGAGTCCCTGAAAGAAGGGGAAGGAGGAGCAGGTTGTCATTTCTTCTACAATTCACAAATTTTTCTTATATCTGAGGCTCTTCTGGTCATTTCTGTCGCAAGGAGCTTGCAGCTTAAATGAAAAGTATGAAGATTGAGGGTGTGCGGGCCAGGAGCGTTCCGAGGCTTTCAGGGGTGCGCGGCGGGCTGTGGCCAGCAGCCCTGGCACATGGGTCGGGGAATTCGGCACGGCGGACTAGAATTAGGCACGGACGCGTAGCGGTTGATTAAAGATTATTTTACTTACACCGTAGATGGTCGCGGTGCAGGCAGGAAAACTTCGCTTAAGTTGCAGTTACAAACATAAAGAAAACTTGCTCGAACAAGACCCGTAGAAAACTCGAGCCTCTTAAACCCGGAAAGAGCTCTGGATACCACGATGAGAGTCCAAAAGGTGACTCTCCACGAAAGCGCGCAGGGAAGGGTACGTCGAGGGATCAGGCGGCGACGGGGAGAGGCTAGAGGTTGATCAGGCCCCTGTATCCTTCTTAAGGCACACGCTGGGTTCGTTGGGCTCCACAGCGCTTAGAGTTCTTCACAAGATGTGAAGATCTCCTTCTCCTCCACGAGATGGTTGTGGAGTCCTCCTCCTCCAACTTGGGCGGAAACCACTCAAGCCTCTTATACGGCTAGCAAGCCAATCGCTAGCCACCATGTGGGAATAATTTAGAAACAGCCAATAGTGGGACACAAATTTGCATGCGGGTGGCGGGAACTCCTTTGCACCGGGGTTTTCTCTTTGCAACTGAGACTTGCACCGTGCAAAGAAAGCTCCTCGTGGCGGGAAATAATTCTGCAGTGCCAAAGCGCACACAAAATCATACCCTTTGAGTCATAACAGAGGGAATCTAATTTTATAAACATACACATCTTGATTTTGTTATTTGTATTGTAATTTATTAGTTAGGGTTAAGGGGGTTAACATTTGTCCTGGGCTACAGAAGTGAGACACGGTAGAGCATGTCTGGGTTGGTCAAAAATGAGCCTTCAAGAATGAAGCACCTTGAGGAAATATGAAAATCCCAATAACTGAGTAGCTAGAGAGTGTGGAACAAAAAGACCAGATATCTAGAGACTAACCCTTCCTACCCTCCCCCAAACTTTCATGAGTCCAGTATGGGTAAACAAAGAAACAAGATAGATTTGGGAACAACTTTGGTATGTTGGGCTAGGCACTTCTGCTATATGGGCTGTGGGGCTTTTGCCATGCTAAACAAAAGACTTTGGGAAAGGCTGCCTATGCCCCTGCAGTTGCATTCTGCTGCATTAGCTCCCTACAAAGGAAAGTCCCCAGCAAAAATCACAGTAATTTGGACTTCCTAAAGACAAATATGCTATAATCCAAGGACCCAGTCTTGCTGAAGGATCTTTGGGGTGCACTACCCCTAGGGATAGCTAAAGGAGGAACTGCAAAAAGTCCCGAGTCTTGAGCAAAACCTTGTAAATCTGTGACACAAAGGCAGAACTAAACACTGGGAAACCCAAAGGAAGGTTTTGTCTTAGCTAGTCCACTTTGGTGATGGGTACGTTGTGCGGGAGATTTTTGTTTTTGTTTTGTTTAAGCTATTTTGGTCGCTGGAAGTTGTTTCAGTGCTTTGTAAAACCTGGATGGTCCTAAAGTATCAACCTAGCATTAAAAATGGCAGCTTTGTCTTCCTGAGTGAGTTGATTGGAATATTCCCTATGTAATTATAACTACTGTCTGTTTAACTGCTTGTGTATTCTCTTCTGTGTGTGGTTTATTTAAGGAGAAAAATGGTTATTTTTACATTTATAACGCCTCAGATATCCCTGCAGTTGAAGCAACAAATGCTGTATAATAAAGACTGTGTGTGCCACAGTGAAAATGTGTACAGCTAGATATTTGCAAAAGCTGTCTCTGTTGCAACCGTCCAGTAAACCATAGGAACTGCATATGTTATGCGAGCAAAATCAGGAAAAGGATTTTGAAGCCTCTGTTGAAAAACTTCTGTCTATAAATAGAGCTCCTCTAAATTTGAGAGGAAGGGATAGTCTTATGTTCAAAGTATTTGAGATCAAGACAGAGCTAGAATTGCTTGTATTTTATTCCCTACTCTGCCAGAGACTTTCTGGGTGATCCTGTAGGATGCCCTTCATTTATGGTCCTACACTTGGACATGGTAATTAACTACTTCACAGGGGCATGCTGCTTAATTTGTTAATATTTGTGGACTCCTGTTGGAAGGTACTGGTCTGAAAAAATGTAAGCTTTACTATAATGGTAAGGGTTCTTGTCTCTGTTCTCTCCTGTCAATGTACAGAAGAGAACTGAATATGAAATGTGCACAGTTGGCCTCGATACTAAGCATGGTAAGGGCACCTACACATGTGCTCAATTCCTGCTCCGACAGGTAAGGCTCAAAGTCAATACAATGGTACTGTGAGATTGTCTCATTAAATCATTTCTAACATGTGACAAAATGGATGAGTTTGATTTGAGATCCTATAGCTTCTCTCCTACATTGCTGAAAAATACACTAAATTACTGAATCCACCAATAGAGGAGGCAAATAGAAAATGTAGGTCTGTTTTAATAAAAATACATCCCTATTTATATTTCTTTATTGAATACTATAGATTTTAGGTGCAATTTTTAATATATAGCAGTATCTTTTGTAAGGCTGTGAAACCTTGGTGATGTCAGATCTCAGTGAGGAATTAACGGTGATAACTACAGAGAATTAGCAGATTACACGAATGATGAGCTGTATGGATTTCTAGGGTTCTGTCATCTACAGAAAAAATTTCTCCATAACCACACTTGTTTTAACATGAGTTTTAATTGAGGCTAATATGTGGAGGATGGACTTGGTGAGGAGAAATCCTGAGGCTTGGGTCTGTATTATCAAAAATGCAGAAATTGGGAACCCACCATTATAGGAGGTGCAGTCGTATGTTGTGCCTGCCACCCTTCCAGGTTGGATTCCTCCTTTGCTCCTGCAGTTCATGGTAGCTGAGGGCCTGATCCTGCTGGAGTTGGACTGCCCAGCCTCTCTTCCTACAGGCAGCCAGTGGTGTCTGCTGTGTCCTGCCAGCTCTAGAGTCCAAGGGCCTGATCCTGACCATTGCCACCCTTTTCAAAATTCTAGATCTGCTGTTGGCCACTTACATCTGAATGTTTTAAAAACTGGCTTTGACAATAGTCTCTGAAATCCCAGCAACTTAAGAGTTCCCTCTGCTTGGGCAGATTCAACATTTAAACTTTGCTGACTTTTGAAAATCTCTTTCAGTTCTATAGGGACACTTTCTGGCTCCTCTCCTCTGTTAGATCAGACTAGTGACCTTTATGAAACCTACACCCTAATTTTCCAAATGGGAATAAATTTGACCTCTGGTTAAAATATATAAATTGCATAGATGTCCAAAATGTTGCCATAAAATCCTTTGGTTTAAATTGCATTTAAAAAATTGTCAGAGCAATGGAGAGGAGCCTTTATGTAAATAGTAGGTGGGCACCTTGTTTTTTAGAAATATGCTTGCATATTTTCAGGAAACTGGGATGTTTGGTCACTAGCTACGCTCCTCCCAACAAACCCAGGTTGTAGTTTTGATCTCCCAATCAGAACTTTTAATCACTTGTAACATTTAATGTTCTGGCTTCTTTCTCCCCAGCACTTGGATCACAGCACAGTCTCAGGGTTAAATTGGATCACAGAACCTGGTGATCGGCAGTCTTCATCTCGGACAACTAAAATTGCCAGCAAGACTTATTGTGGTTACGAGCATCAAATTTTGTCCAAAAGAGAACGAGCTGAAGAGGAATCCTTACTTGCTGCTATACAATGGCCAAAACCCCCTGAAGACAAAATCCCTTTTGTACGAAGTACTGATCCTGCCCACAGCGACTTCGTGATTTTAAATCATCACGCACGTTTCAAGGTGGGTGATCAGCTAGAGGTGTTAGTCCGTATGAAAGATTTTCAAGGCAAACCAAAGAAGTATGGTGGTGACTATCTACAGGCAAGAATCCACTCTCCTGTGCTGAAAGCTGGTGCAACAGGAAGGGTTGTAGATTACCAGAATGGTTTTTACAAAGTCTTTTTCATTTTGCTCTGGCCAGGGGAGGTCAAAGTGTCTGTGTCACTGGTCCACCCTAGCGAAGGGATCCAAGTCCTTCAACGCTTACGGGAAGAAAAGCCAGACAGAGTTTACTTTAAAAGTTTATTTAGATCTGGAAGGAATTCGGAAACAACTGTTTGCAATGTGTGTTTGCCCGGAGATCTTCCAGTATGCAACTTCACTGATCTCTACACTGGTGAACCATGGTTCTGTTACAAGCCCAGAAAACTTCCCTGTGCCAGCAGAATCAGCCATGCCAAGGGGGGATATCAAAAGGGCCTTCTGACAGCAGCGGAGAATCTCTTCTTCCAAAAGTAAGTATGTTAGTAAATAGGTAAGTTGGGATGTGGACACAAGACACATTCACACTGCCATAAATGTGGAGCAGACGCACAAAATGTAGCTTTACACAACTGTATGTACTCTTACACTGGGCAAGTTACAATAATGTGTGGATTATATATTCACATCTTTGGTCACCTGCTCAGTGCAAACAGGCTATTGCAGTTGCAGCAAGGAAAATTTAGGTTAGATATCAGGCAAAAACTTTCTCACTAGGAGGGTAGTAAAGCATTGGAATAGGCTACCCAGAGAGGTGGAATCTCCATCAAAACCCAGCTAGACAAAGCTTTGGCTGAGATGATCTAGTTGGGGATGGTCCTGCTTTGAGCAGGGGGTTGGACTAGATGACCTCCTAAGGTCCCTTCCCACCCTAATTTTCTATGATTCTATTACTGGCTTTCTGGCCACTGGGGTGAAGTGCTGTAATAGTGCCTACTACAGGCAGAGACCTCAGAAGAGCGGTCTTGTCTGTCCACTCCAGGTCACTATAGCGGTCTTGTCTGTCCACTCCAGGTACCTATGTAACATGTATTGCTGTATAAAACGATGTAAATGCATCGTGTGTCCACAGTTTGTATGTGGGTTTTCAGCCATGCTGCTCTGCCAGCAGGTTTCAGTCTTAAACAATTTGGAAATAGATTAGGTCAGCCTCTGTGCTCTGAGTTTATCATCTGAGACAAACTACACCAGCCTTTTTGGCAGGTGTGCCACAAATTAGCCCCATGCCCTCCCCAGGTGTCACTCTGATCCCCTTTCTCTCTAGAGCTACTGCTTTGCTTTCTGCTTTATTCCCTATGATCCCTGCCTAATTTGCTGTTTTGCTTTCTGCTTCTTGCCCTACCTGCTACCATGCTGCCCGTCCCCTCCTCAATTTGCTGTGTGCTACAGATAGAGGCTTGTGACACCTGTGCTGCAATTTAGCCACCTTTGGAGTAGAACATCATGTATTATGGTGGTGATGTTTTCTGATTATTTCTTGTTTTTGCAACTACACTAACCTCAGTGCTGAATGTATATTTTGGCAAACAATAATCTTTCATAAATGTTTGGCATAACATGGTCTATTTTTCATTGCCCTGGATGACCTTCAAATCCTAAATCTCACAGCAGTTCAATTATGAGGAAAAGAACTGGCAGTGCAAACTCTTCTTGAGTAACTAGTTTTCAAAGGGGAAGTGGTCCTTATCTATTACATAAGGTGCCAAAATAAATTAATTTCGAAATCTTTGTGTGTGTGTGTGTGTGTGTGTGTGTGTGTGTGGCTATGTGTTCTGGATTCCACTTTAATTCTGAGGTTTGGGGGTGGAAGACTGCTAGTATGCAGAATAGATGCCAGTGGGCCTCATTCTGTGTGGTACTAGTTTCCCTCCACTATATTGAATCAGTAGGTCTGTGCACTGCCATACCATTCAAAAAAGGTGCTGAAAGCAGGCATTTTGTAATAGTGCTTGTATGGGTAATGCATCTATGCAGGCCTCAAATGAAGGAAGCCTGAAAGATACTACTCTTTCTCATGTAGTTTCATTAGAATGCAGTGTGTGTTTATACCTGAGAACAAGAAATCAGTTCTCTTGGGTCTTATTCTTGAGTAATTTCTGTCTCTCAGATTACCTACCTGTAAAATTCTGGTATCCCTCCAGGTATTCACTGCCTTGTTCATTTCATGTGATCTAAACCAGTGGTTCTCAACCTTTTTTGTACCAGGACCCATTTGTAAACATCAGTGGCCATTTTTGATGAAGTTAGCCTCAGTCCAGACCTTTTGCCCCCTGTTTCTAGGCCTTAGCCCTCTCATGTGGGGCAGGGGGTAGAAATGGGAGTGGCAGGGGAAGCAAGCAACCCTTTGCAGACTGGAGCTCTGCCAGTCGGCAGGGGAAGACCCATGCTTTCTCACATTTTTCTCCTTTAAAGGAGAATCCATTTTTAAAGTTTGTTTGCAGCCCTTTCACATATCCCTGAGACCCGCTTTTTGGGCCACGATCCACAGGTTGAGAAACGCTAATCTAAACAACCCGCTTATTACCTCTTTTAGTGACATCCCCTCCTCCTGTCCCTTTCCCTTGTGTATGAAATTTTCTTTCTTCCATTTGAAGTAGGTCATGCCACTTTAAACCATTAAGCCTCTCAGGTACTGCCCTACTCTACCTTTCCTCTACTTGTAATACCTGAATGATGCTTGTAAACAGTACTTCCAAAAGAGAATTATGGCTTGTTTAAGTTTGTAAATTAATTTGAAATCTTCAGATGAAAGGGGTTATAGAAATGGTAAATAACTCTTGGGGAGGGTTGGTGGAGGGAGAGGGGAGGAGGAGAACCAGGGAAGGCAAGTCCTTTAAAAAAAATCACTTAGCCTTTAAATCTTGCTTTTTATCATTGGTACATAGGATAAATTCCCCAATATAGATTTTCAGAATAGATCAAAGGCTTCAAACCATGGGGGGGCAGGGAGGTGGGTGCTTTTTGGTGACTTCCAAATTTGGAGCACTAAATTTATAGGATTTGTATCACGTTGCTGAGCCAGTTAAATTCTCTAAGCACTAGACAGCTCCAAAGTCATTGCCATACACCTGCTGTTCCTCATGGCCTCCTTTTAAAACAATCCAGGAAGCATGCTCTTCTTTGAGGGATTGCATCACTTCTGCTTTTTATTAATTTGCAGATTTTGCTGGCATACAAAAATGTTCCTCAGAAAATCAGTATTTGATTGCTTTCTTATGCTTTTTGTGTATTTTTTATCCACTTTGATGCAAGGTGGTGCTCTGATTATAGATTATTCTGATAAGAGTACTGGAGGCCAACTTTTAGCATTGGAGATCATCCTTTCCAATCCAGTGGTGTGTGGGTCAGATATAACATATCCATGCTGTTGAATCCTACAGAATCTATATGGTAGCTTCCCTTACTCTGTCTTGTACAGATATCTGATTGCTAGAGCTGATGCATCTCACTGAGAATGCACCTGTAAAAATGAGTGTGAAAATTAAAATATGATGTCAAATTTTGGCTAATTAAGGTCACGATAGCACCCCCTGGGGGAGGAGGAATTAATACTGGAAAGAGCTCTTGAAGCTAAGGAACATTTTAGAAGTAAAACCAAAAAATCTTATTTTGTATTCAGTGTGTGCACAAATGAGTTACGAGAAACTGAGGCTAGAAACTAGCATGGTGTAGCAGTATTGTTACATTATATATCCTTTTTTTTTAATTATTCTTCAAGTGATGTGAATATCAAAATGCCAGTATTCTCCAGTGGCCCGGATTCAGTGACTGTAAAGCCCCTGAGATTTACAGGTAAAGTAAGCTTTCAAGTTTTTTGTTTTGTAATTCATGGTTAAATCAATTGAAAGAAAAAATAATCATGAGTTAAATATTAATATACAAGTAGCTTTTCTGTCACAGCTATTGTTATAAAACATATTTTCTTTAAAAGGTTGATGCATCGATTACCACTGTGTTGTGAGCACTTCTGTCACAAACTCTCTCTCAACAGTGTCACACAGCAGCCTTTGGGTACTGCTGTAGTATATGCACATTATAATAACTGCCTTCCTAAATTAGACTAGCAGAACCAGTTTCACACTTTTCCCCATCATTCCTCAGAATTTTATCTTGGAGGTTTCCTGAACATGTAGTTAATGGTTTACTATGTGTTTAAAAAAACAAAACAAAACAAAAAAAGGCACCAAAAGAACCCAACCCACCCACACCACAACAAACAAAACCAAACCACAGTGTATAGGGGTGGTGGTTCTGAACTAGGATCCCATTGCAATATGCACTGTACAAATGCAAAGCAAAAAGATAGTCCCTGCCCCAAGGAGCTTACAGTCTATTGTGTGTTCATGCTTACTTGTACACTCAATGCACATATACGTTTTATTCAGATGTTCCTCAATAAAAAGAAAAATGCAGAAAATGAAATTACATAAGAGACTTGCCTCTTAACTAGTGGCTTTTCAAAGTGTTGCTTGAGGCCCAAGGGGATGTTTAAGGGATAATCCCTGCCTTGAAGAGCTTAGCCTAAACAGAAGGACATATTGTGGCTTTTTTGCTCCTAGGTCCTGCTAACAGAGAGGCTGGGACATTAAGGCATGCTAAAGTAGGTTTATAGTCCGTACTAGAAAAATCTTCTTCGCTTAGAACAGTGAGACAGTGGAATAGGCTGCCTAGGGAAGCTGTGGAATCTGTTTTAGGACATTTTCAAGAAGAGGTTGGACAAGTATTTGTCAGGGATGATGTAGGAGTAACTATGCTTGGAGTGCTCTATAAAGGGCAAGAGTTGAAAACTTTGGACCTTCCCCCACTGCACGCTCGCGCTTGCTCTCTCTCTCTCATATATATTATAAGAGAGCTCAGCAGCCCTGAGCAGGCTGACATCAGAGAGTACCATACTCAGGAGACAGAAAATTAAGTAGAGCCCCACAATGAGCTTAGTTATGGTAGAGTATTAAAGCAGCTGGAATAAGTTTAGGGAATGGATATATAAAGGGGAGTTTTGACTCTCCAGGTCGAACAGGGGTAGGCAACGCCCAACACATGTGCCATTGCTTGGCACGCATGTCTCAGGCTGGATGGTGGGGGAGCCGCAAGGGTCCTGGTCCTTGCTGTGGCAGTGAAGCTCCGGCCCCTTCCCAACTGTCTGCCTCAAGCTGCATGTGCACCCTGCTGCCAGCTATGAGTCAGTCTCAGGCTCTGTGGACCCTCGTGAAGCTGCTTGCAGCCTCCCTGCTACCTGCTTCAGGCTCTGTGGTGAGCAGCAGAGGCCTGCCCAGAGTGCAGGCTGGCTGTGGCAGGCAGCCAAGAGGATGTGAATGGCTACATCATGGTCCACAGAACCCTGGTCTGGCTCGTTGTGGATGGCAGGTGCATGCGCGCCTAAGGGCAGACACTGGGGAAGGGGCCAGGGACTGCAGTGCTGGAATAAGGATCAAGCCCCTTGTGGCTCCTCTGCCATCCACCCCTGGCACGCCAACATCTTACAAGTCAAGGTTGTAGGTGTTTTTGGCACTTTGCCCAAAAATGTTGCTGACCACTGGGTTAGTGGAGTCATGTTTTTTATCCCCTGGTTGCAGAGAAGAATGGAGTGTTTTGGTTTAATTGCTTCTGGGCCTTGCTGGTTGCCACATGAGGCCAGGAAGGATTTTTTCCCCCCAACTAGTGCTACAGGTGAAGAGGTTATTTTTCCTGCTTTCCTCAGAAGTATTGGAGGTTGTCTGCAGCCAAAGCTGGGGATTTTGACTGGGATGTGCCAATCAATGCTTTTACTGGGACTAAAACCCAGAAATTCTTGGCTAGAGGGTCTTGCCCATCCACTTATGGTCAGACAAATCATCACATTTGGAATCAGGAAGGACATTTATCCCATGGTCAGATTGGTATGGACTTTTGAGGTTTTTGCCTTTTCTCTGTGGTAGGGAAATGGCCCTTTTCCTTGTATGTCTTGAGTACATTTTAACAGCACTTGTAGCTGTGGGACACTGATAAGTCCTCTTGGTGAGTTTGGGCAATATGCCTTGTTCTGTGACGGGGTTGATTGTGTAGTTTTAGGAAAAGGTTAGACAAGGAGTTGTATGGGTTGGTTTGGATAGGGATGATCCTGCCTCAAGTAGGGGGTTAGACTAGAGGTTCTTCCGTAAGTTCTTTCCAGCCCTACTTTTCTATAACTTTAGTTGGCCAACAGCATTTTTTCCTTCTAGTCTCTGAGACCTGCAGGTGACACTACTACGTTTTCCTTGATTTTGTCTTAAGAAGCTGATGAATGTTAGGCCACATACAGACGTTCAGTTTCTCCTGGGAGAAACGCTGCTTTCCCAGGAGAAGCCATGAGTGTACAGCTATTCAGGATTTTTCTCTTGGGGTAAAAATGGCTGCTCCAGAACAAAAATAATCACTCCCAAGAGAATTTCTCAAGGGAGAGTGAACATCTGCACACATTCTTTAATGACAGAAGCCATGGCACAGTCTTCCAGCATCCAAGGGTGCTTTCCTCCCATCCTTCCTCCCTCCCTCCCATGAAAACAGTGCATTGCTCATTAAACTCTGCTGCTCCAGAACAGAACACACAGGCTGACTGATCAGTCTGGGTCAGCCAATCAGGGCTGCCCTGTGCACTTCTGCCATCTGTCTCTGGGCAGACTTGGGAGTCTGCAGAGCAAGATGTGTGCACTAGGGCCCCCTGGTTGCACAGTGTCAGCACTGCAGACTCTGCTTTTCAAGGTTCAGCATTCAAATATCTATGTAGACATCTCCAAGTAAGTGTTTCTACCAAGAGAACAAACCTGGGAGAATTCTTCCAGATTACTGAAACGTGTGTGTATATGTATATGTGTGTGTGTGT